TCATCAAGAATGGATTACAATTTCGACCTCTCTTAGGTCTCCTCAACACTCCCAGTGGGACTCGTATCACGACAGTACGGCGTATAATCTCGACACGTTAACTACCACGCTACAGTGTAATGAGTGCCCTTGGGTCACAGGGAAGCTGTTAATTTTAAGAAAGACCAGACATTTTCTAATATCACCTTCTGTAATGGGAAGGTCACAAAGCAAAGTTATATTTGCTAGGGCAATCGACTACACTACCTATTTTGATCGAAGATATGAAGGCCAAGATGGTGTGGCCTTTTGTGTGGTCGCAGTCTCCTTTCGTTGTACAAAAGTTGTTTATCCTTGTTTTCGCAACTTGGTCATATTGGTAGGAAGACTTATAGGAACGCACGTTGTCATGGGTGCATCGTATGCATAATTATTTCCAAAGTTGGACCTTGGATGTGGTACATTCCCAGAAGTTTCGCTGGCATCGTAGTCGGCATCGTCAGTGAGTTTTACCATTCGTAGCACCATATAACAACTGGTCAAAGAGACAAGTGAAGCCGATCCTTTGACCAAACGTTTGCTAAACACTTATGGTATCTCCCATTCTGCCCAGGCAGAATAAAAAAACTACTGTCAGCCCACTAGCTCCCATTGCCGCTGCGTCTATCCTGTTTCCATATCTAATACCAAGTCTATGACTTCCGATGCCCTAGTCTCTTGTGGACCAACCCACAAATGTTATGGTACTGCTTGCTTTGGTTAGGTTCACTGTTGAACCATAGACTTGGTATTATAGATAGAAACAGGATAGACGTGGAGGCAATGGGAGCTAGTGGGCTGACAGTAGGTTTTATAAAAATCGTGGTCCATGTGGCAAAGACCTGACCATGACACTTACTCAGAGGCTTTAGCCTCGAATTAGTCACCCAGACGCAGGGTAGGGCCAATAATTCTTCGGGTGGCAGGGGTCGAGTGAAATATGTGAACCGGGGAGAGGACAGACGGATCTTAGGGGGCAAGGGAGAGACTGTGGTAAGACCTAGGAAAAGAGGACTGTGTAACAATATGGCAGACTCCGATCAACATTCCCAGCACAAGGATGAAGGGCGGTGAGAATGCCAGCGTGGAGTGCGGAGGGTTCTAATGAAAGCACACTGTACGATATTTAATTAAGCAAGTAAAATATTGTGACAGTGAAGGCGTGATTGGAGGATATAGGAAATGTGAATAGGTCAGGGCAGAATGGGAGATATTATAACTGTTTAGCACACGTTTGGTCAAAGGATCGGCTTCACTTGTCTCTTTGACGAGTTG